GGAATTCAGCTGCTCTTAATAAAATCACAGCCCATTTACACCAGCAATAAATGATAATATAGAAAAAACTTAAAGAACTTTTTCGTACTGGACTTGAAATGTTCTTTCATTACCTGGGTTGAAATAGTTTCAGCTATAGACCAGCCTAAAGCAATTTAAGCAACTCCTATGCCAAGATAGCAGAATCACATTTACTGTTTTCTTACTGACTCATCAAAGTTGCTTCATCTGAGTTCTTTCATTCATCCGTATCTGAGCAATGGAAAATGCAACAAAATACTCAGTCCTTCATAGAGCCAAACAATATTCACAGTTTCCATCTGAAATTTTTATTAATGGTAATTTAATCCAAAACTCTGCCATGAACAGGAACACTTTCAGGTAGACTGAAATGCTGGAGGCAAATCCAAAACTTCTCTGGGCAATATATTCCATTTTCGTACAACCCACACTGAAAAGATTTCTCCTAATCAAAACCTCCCATCATTTAGTGAAAAACAATAGTCTGCTGAACTATGACCATTAGCCCTCCTCAAAAATACTCGCCAGATGTTTCTGTAAGTTTATTCATATACTGAAAGAGCGCAATTTTTTCAAAAGTCTACACAGAGCTGTCATTCTCTATGCTTGAAGACCTCAAATCCTTCATTCTTTCGGCACTGCAGACATATTCCAACCCTCAGGCTAATAATATGATCCTTCTGGGGACTCTAACATGTCCATTTGGGATATTAACCCAAGGCCTGCATGCAGTCTACACTTGCATAAAAAGAGTTTAGAGGGAGGGAAGGACCTCCCTTGATGTGTTGGGCAGAGTGTTTGTGATGCAGTGCAGGACACCATTTGAGAAGCAGGTGCCCATTGGCAGCTCACATCCCATCTTATCACCCACCAATGACCCAAAGTGCTTCTCTGCAAAGCTCTTCCATATCCCTGACCCTCTCCAAACTGGGGATTGCCCCACCACAGCTGCAGGACCTTGCACTTTGTTCCACGTCATGATGGTTGCAAGGGGCCTCTTCTCCAGCCTATCCCTCATTGGCAGCTCTGCCCTCCCGGAGTCAGCTCCAATTGGTGCCAGCTGCACATGGGCTGAAGGTGCACTCAATGCACTGCCCATGAAGGCATGAACAGAACTGGGTCCAGTCAGGACCCTTCAGGGACAGCACAAGTCACTGCTTTCCACCGGGACATTGAGCCGCTGTCTGTGACTCTTTGGAGGTGACTCTCCAGCCTGTTCCTCAGCCCTTTCACAGCCTCCAGGTGATTGCCCAGCATGTTCCTCTGGGTGATGGCCTGAGGGACACTGCACACGTTCTCCCACTGGCCACTGGTATGCTCATGGAAGTCTTGGCTGGGCTGGGTGGCCACTCTGCACTTTGACAGCTGCAGCCGACATGCTTCTGCATTTTACAACACAGACAAAGTGTTCCTGGGTGAGCACAGCAAGAGTGCTCATGAAACCCTTCCTCTGCACAGCTGGAAACATCACAGGTGTGTGTGGGAACTGCAGCTGCACTCGGGCAGCTGGGACAGAGGAGACCTTCCACATAAGGCCAGACACCCTGAGTATGAGCTCATGAGATGTGACAAGAGTTACAAACATATGGAAATGTACAGACCAGGCACAACATTTTCCTGACACATTTACTGAGCAACAGCAATTCCTTTTACATGGCACCCCATCAGGCACAAGCATGTGTTATGTATGACATACAACAGCAAGGGAAATAATCATCTGTTCTTCTATACTCTCACATACAGAGGTCTCCTGTCCTCTCTCCAATGCTACACAGCTGTTGGTTTGCTACTGCCCCTTAATATCACTGGCAAAATTTATCATGAGGGAATAAAGCACCATGATCACATCAGGAGGAGAGGTAAATTTATCTGATCACCAGCATTCTGAGAAGAAACAGAAGGATTCTAAGCTACATGAATGATAAACAACCAAACTAAAAGATTAGCAGTCATTCAACAGTTAGGCTTACCTAACTAATGGCTCAGAGGAAATCTCCTGCCCTCTTTTATCACACACAGTGTTCCACAGAGATACTGCCAAGGTGATGTTTACCTCCCTTCCCCCTGACAGTAACAAAACTCAAAGGTCCCCTCACCTCTCCTGCCTTTCACACCTGCTGTAGCACGAACAAGAGGCACTAATATAGGATTCATTGCTAAATGAAGCAAGGCTGAAAACTACAAGGAAACCTGCACAGAAAGAAAGCCAATTAAACAAAACAAACAAACAAACAAAAAAACCAAAACCAAAACACACACACAAAAAAGCAACAACAACAACAACAACAACAAAAAAACACCCACAAAAAAAACCCCAAACCACAAAAAACCAAAACCACACCACAAAAAACCAAACCAAAACAAAACAAAACATACATCAAACAAGCAAGGCAAGGAACAAAGGCCAGTTAGATAAGTTCACCAGGAACTCTTGGTCTTCTCCAATGGTGGGCATTGGAATTCATCTCTGTGAACATCTGAGGCCTAAAGGTGCAAGTGCAGCCCTAAAGTCTTACACTGGACTCTGCAGTAATGGGGTTCATTACAAAAAAAGTCATCAGCTCTCAGCAATTCTGTTATGTGACCTTCCAAAGATATGAAGTATCTGAGGCCTCTTTCTCAACTTCACCCTTCTAATAAATTCCAAGAGTCACTTCTTCCTTTTCCTTCACATTCCTCACACACAAAATTCTGTCCTTGGTGATTGAAATAGGTATTTGCTGCCAAGCCAGAGTCATAATTCCAAAAGAAGAGGCACTGACTAGAAATGGGTAAAAAGACCAAGACCTTACAGGAAGCAAAACCCCAAGAATCTAATTCCAACTGTGAAGACACAAGACATCTCTATGTTCCTGGGAGTTACAAATGAAAGATGAAATTTTCATGCAGATATTATAAGCCATTCTACACAAGCATCACCCTCACAGTTTTTCAGGAAAGAATTTTCTGCTGGAGAAGTGGCATTGCCTTTCAGGACAGGGATACCAGGATCAAAGTAAACAGCATAGACCTCAGCAAGGACCTTGGCACAAGGCCTGGAATCAAACCATTTTCCAGCCAAAGCTGCACTGACCAGTCGATTTTCCACATTCAAATCCAATTTCTCAGTCTCTTGGCTCTGTATTCATAGTCTTTTTTTTTTTTTTTATCATGGTCAACACGCAGATTATAATCATGTATCAGCCACAGGGAAAAGAGCATTTCATTCAGTCCCATTTGAGGGAAACATAAATTTAGCTATATCCACTTCAAGGTATGGATGAGAACTGGTCTCCCACCCTGATAATTATAAGACATCTCTTGGTGTTTCACGCAATCACAAAATCATTAAAGCTGGAAGAGACCTTCAAAGTCATCTAGTCCAGACCAGCACCACCATAATCAGCCTTGAAAAATATCTCCAAGCATCTCATCAAGAAGCCTCTCAAAACACTTTCAGAGACAGTGACTCCAACCACCTCCTCTGGGCAAATTATTTCAGTGCCTGACCATTCTTTCACAGAGGAATATCCAAATATCTGATCTGAACCTCCCCTGGCACAAATTAAGGCCATTTCCTCTCGGACTTTCACTTGAGACATGAAAAAAGAGATCAACACCCACCTCGCTAGTACTTCATTTCAAGTAATTAGAGAGAGCAATAAGTTCCACCCTGAGTCTCCTCTGTTTTGAGACTAAACAACTCCTGTTCTCCTCATAAGCTTCACCCCCTTTTATTTGTTTACAGGATTGCCAGGCACAATGAGGTCCAGCTTTACTCCTTCACAAGAAACAAACAAATATGACACAAAAAGATTGAGGAACCGTCAGAAGTCCATGAACCATAGATTCACATTTCAGATTGTGTCAGGTGTCATAGGTACACAATGGGAATTAGTTTGTAAGAAGTATTCCAGATGCTCACACAGGAGCTCACACCATAAATCCCAGATAAAGTCATATCTTAGACCCTGAAAAGAAAACACAACCACAGCTGTGGGCCTTGTCAAAAGTCCAGGACAAACTGGAGCTTTACACCTTCCTTTTAGCCACTTCACTCTCCTACACAGGCCCTGGCTCTGGACAGATGAAACTCTTTCCCCATTTCAAACACCACACTAACAGAAAGTTAAATCTGCAGACAAATTCTGTTGAAAGAAAAGCTGCATGCACAAATTCTCCAATCCCAAGCATCACAAAAATGATAATTCTGTTCCTCCCAGTACCTTGAAGAAA